GCTATTTTTCTGCTATTTTTCTGGTCAGAGCTTATTTATTCTGCTATTTTTCTGGTCAGAGCTTATTTATTCTGCTATTTTTCTGCTATTTTTCTGGTCAGAGCTTATTTATTCTGCTATTTTTCTGGTCAGAGCTTATTTATTCTGCTATTTTTCTGCTATTTTTCTGGTCAGAGCTTATTTATTCTGCTCTTTTTCTGGTCAGAGCCACTTCTCCCTTAAATGCCGGCGCCAAACGCACAAAACGCACATTTCCACCTTTGTTCCCACACTCTCGTAATCACAAATAGCAATTACCGTGGCCCGGGTCGCTGCCATTTGCGGCTCCGCTCGGCGCCGTGTTGACGCCGCGGGCGGCCCGCCGGACGCCGCCGCCTCATTAGTTTTTTCCGTGTTTTTTGTGTGTTTTATTGTGTGTTTTTGTGTGTTTTTGTGTGTGTTACAGTCCCGGCTGCCCAGCCAGACGGAGGCCCTGGCGCTGCAGTCCATCCGCAGCATCCGGGGGAACGGACGCTGCGCAGACTGCGAGGCTCAGAGTGAGATATCACACACATCTGAGAGAAAATTATAGATTTAAACCTCTTTAAATTAGGCTGGTCCCCCACACGAGCATTAGCATTAGCATCTCCTAACCCACAGCTCTGTGTCCTAACCATTAAGTTGTTATCAGAGTAAATCCCTGTTCAACATGAGTCTAGCATTAGCATTAGCATTAGCATCTCCTAACCCACAGGTCTGTCTCCTAACCATTAAGTTGTTATCAGATTAAATCCCTGTTCAACATGAGTCTAGCATTAGCATTAGCATCTGTAACCCACAGGTCGGTGTCCTAACCATTAAGTTGTTATCAGAGCATTAGCATTAGCATTAGCATCTGTAACCCACCCGGTCCCACTCTGAGAGCAAATTATAGCTTTAAACCTCTTTAAATTAGACCTTCCCCCCGATCCGATATCTGGATCAGATAGGCCAGCAGGAGAAAATGCAGATCCAGACTCAGATCCAGTTGTTTTTAAAAGTCAGATTCCACATTAGCATTAGCATTAGCATTAGCATCTGTAACCCACAGGTCTGTGTCCTAACCATTAAGTTGTTATCAGAGCATTAGCAGTAGCATTAGCATCTGTAACCCACCCGGTCCCACTGTGAGCAAATTACAGTTTTTGACCTCTTTAAATTTAAATTGTCCCGATCCAATATCTGGATCGGATCGGCCGGCAGGAGAAAATGCAGATCCAGACTCCACATTCCATTTTTTTTTTAAAGTCAAATTCCACATTAGCATTAGCATTAGGATATAAAACCCTAAATCACCCATTAGCATTAGCATTAGCATCTGTAACCACAGGTCTGTGTCCTAACCATTAAGTTGTTATCAGAGCGTTAGCATTAGCATTAGCATCTGTAACCACAGGTCTGTGTCCTAACCATTAAGTTGTTATCAGAGTAAATCCCTGTTGAACATGAGTCTGACAACTAAGTAAGTAGAT